ATAATTTGAAATTGGATCTTCGAAAGTTCGAATTCATGATGAGAATCAGGTGAAATAAAAATTTCTTCTTGTAGTTATTATACTCTTTGGATTTAATGCAAGTTTTGGCTTGTTCTTGTGAAATCTTTCTGGTAACTTTAGAAATCTTTTTAGTAGGCTTCAGTTGTGTCCTGGATTCCAGCTGTTTATCTTTAGTCATTTTTTAAGCATCTCGTCTTCCATGTTTTTTCTGTATTCCTCTCCGATGCTGAAATTCAAGATTTGTGGACGACTCTATATTGGTTGTCGAGATATTTATGCATATTGTCGATAAAGTGGTCGTTATACTTTTGTAAACTTGCAGTTGCTTTCAGAACTACTGGACTGGGCTGTCCTTCTGTGTTCTTTGATACTCGTTTCATTTTAATTTTTAAAAAATCAAGACTTATTTTGGTCTTAAAAAAATAGGAAGTCAAAAATTAAATAAAAAAATGAATGCATGAGTTTTGAAAACAGTAAATTCTTGAATTTACATTTAATATGCTATCACGTATTTATTGTAGAGTGGCTTAATTATTTTGAATCGAAAATTTATGTTAAGCAAACAAATGTTAATATCTTCGTTAGAAGTAAAAGAAGTTTACATTAAAAAAATAACTATTTTGTTTATCATGGAATATTTCTGGTTTCTCTAATTAAGCATAAAACAACAATCCAAATTTTCAGAAATTATGCGAAGATTATTTGTTTCATTATACTACCTTAAGGATTATTGATAACTTTAATTAAATATATTTTTCAACTGAATGTTGTCTTACGCGAAGAACGAGATATTTGACATTTCAAAAATGACGTTGGTGTCAATACGAATGCAATATCGCATTTCATGAGTTTAAAAAATTTACTAGCCATTCCCGTGGCTCAGAAGCAATGCACGCCGCTGGTGAGCATTAGGGAGGAGGTTCAGTCTGCTGGGGACTTTGTTGTAGACACTGTTTCAAAAAACGAAGAGACTCAAGGACATTTGTGATGTTCAGCATCTTGCCTCATGAATCAGACTATCTGGTGGGAGTTTTTCTGGGTTTTCTTCCGTACAATACACAAATGCGAGGTAGTTCCCTCTAAAGAGTCCTCCCGGAAGAGCCTGTCGAACTTCTTCAGCGTCACGAAGCCAAATCAGATTTGTATCTATGGGTGCTTTACATAAATTTTCAGAATTTATGATAATAAATATGAATAAATCAATGCATTTTCAAGAATATTTAGCTAACACAAAAATTCTTAAAATAGTTATTAAATGTTAATTTTAATAACATTATACTTTCAGTACATTTTGCAAACTACATTTTGCTATTCTTATTTTTTTATATTCTTCAGTTTATGAGTTATCTTATGTTTTGGAAAACTTATGTTCAACATGAGAGGAAAGTAAACATTATCTTAAATATCAAGCATAGTAAAATACTTACAAAAAATTACTAACGTCTAAATTCTAGAATTTTTCTTATGTTCTTGAAACGTTGACAAAATTCTTTCTCGTATGTTTTGCAATAAAAAAAAGAAAACAATTTACATTGTTTTGATCCTACAAAAAACTGCATATTATCCTTCCTTCAATAGCAACAACGTTCTATTCCTGAATGTTTGTATCTTTTTAACAAGATGAAAAGTAAGTAAGGCATTCCGAGAGGAAAAAGACTTGAAGACGAGCAGTAGCAAAATATCGTCTGCAAACTTGTGTGTTGCCACTTCTTGTTCGCTCAAAAGAGAATAGAAAAAGAAATGAAAATGAGATTTTGTGTTCCAGTAAGAAAACTGAAGGAATTTTAAATATTCATATTTAATTATCCCAGTTATTCGAAATTTGAAGATGCATCTTTAGTTCATACCAAAAATTCAAGTGCATTAGGTGTAATATGACATTTTCACATGAAATGATTTAAAAAATATTTAAAGGATTTGAAAAGTATTCTGTTAATTGATTTTATTAAAAACGTTTATCATTTTATTTTATGTTTAAAAACAATTTTCAAAAGAAAAAAAAAAAAAAAGGTGCATAAATTCAGACTAGAAAGATACAAATTATAATCTTTCATAATATTTGCTTTTGTTCTATATGATTCTTTTCGGTTGGTTTGATTTGTCGCTCTACGATCATCTTGTGCACATGAGGGCTAAACAGACCGGGACTTACAGTTAACTGCATTCTGAATCACTTACAATCATCCTTGCCACCACCAGGGTTCGAACCTGAAGCTTGGGATACCAAAGGCCAGAGCGCTAGCCATTTGGCCCCCAGGCCGTGACTTTGGAGGGAAGGGGGGGGGAGGATAACAAAAACATTTATAATATTAAATTTTCTTTTATCATTTAGAGGTTTAAAAGAAATTTAAATAATTGTTTTTCTAAAAAGAGAAAAACTAAACTTTTTAATTACTTAGTGCAAATTCGAAGGTAGAAAAGAAAAAGGCTGCAAATAATTTTTTTATAGCAAATAAATATTAATAAATAAATTGACGTACACAAAGTATGGTTTTTAGATTCTATAAAAGAAAAAGAAGGAAAACACAGTTAAATCTTTAATGCCATTAAAAGACAAAATAAAATTATTCTAGAAAAGGTTGTCTTCACATGCGGAAATGACATACCATAACATACTTACCAAAATGATTTGATTTTGATGTTGAACCTCTACTTTATTAATTCCCAGCTTCTTCTCCCAAATGAGCTGTGTCCGAGTGGTCGTGCTGGACAATTACTTTCACGACTGGATGATCCGGCCTCTGGCATATCGGTCAAGGTCGTTGCTAGGAGACGGTCCATTCAAAATTTCTATTAAGAGGTGATTCACGATTAGGTGGTATAAAAGTGCTCACATATTATAATAGTACAAAAGAATGTCTTTTGGGAATTAATTGCACATTTCTGATAATGTCCTTTAATTCCCAAAAATATAATTACTACACATCTTTTTTTACAAATATGTGTGTTTAAGAGAAATTCATTTCATAAAGTGTTATCGTATAAACCATTTCAATTTCCCTAATATTTTAGAGTATTTTTATTTATTATCCGATTGTTCAATTGCCTATTTTTCTTTATCCACTGTCATCTTTTCTTCGAAATAATATTTCAGTATTAAAGTATTAATCTTAATATTACATATTATCTTGCATTCCATCTAAGCCACAGGTTTCGGGTTCAAATCCCGGAGGTGCGATGAGTGTTTGTAAATCTTTGGTATCCACTTTAAACGTTAGGTCACAGTCTAATTAGTTCTGGTGTGCAAATAATGACCGTAGAGCGACAAATCAAAGCAAACCTAACCGACCCACTCTCACGTTTCTCTAATGCAGATGGCAATACAGAGGCAGTTAATCTTTATACCATAAATAAGGGTCTCACCACTGTTACTCATTCAGCACTACCCAGGGAGCATGTCTAGCTTGAAGATATGCTACTGACACGAATAACACTATTCCCACAACGCTCTACGATCTTATTAGATTGGGACCTAAGGATTAAAGTGGATTTCGAATCTCTACAAACATCCATGGCACCGCGAGAATTTGAACCCGAAACCTGTGGTACCGAACGCCAGAGCGCTAACCGCGGGGTCCCCAATCAACTCTAACGATACCATTACCAAATTTTTTTTTCTTCCGTAATTCAGTCATCGGCAACTCGCAAACAGATATCTTGCTTATGGGGTTTTACTATATATTTAAATTATTGCAGCGTAATGTATTAAGAATATTTTTCAGGCTGTCTCGTGTAAATGTTAAACATCAATTTTATTTTAAGTCCCGTACCAAACAGAACCCCTTAACAGATTGTCCTTCCGTGAAAACTTTTAGGGGGAACTACCCCGAATTTGAGTATCGTATGGGAGAATACCCTGACATCAAAACATGCTGAACATCTCAATGCCATTGAGGCTCCTTGTTTTTCGAAACAGTGTGTACAACAAAGCCGCCAGCGGATGGTAACTCAGCCCTAATGCTGATCAGCGGCGCACTTTACTACTAAGCCAAGAATCGGGTCCCCAAATGAGTATTTTGGCTTACTTTGTATTATTTTAAGGCAAGCATGGATTCCCTCATAGTCAATAGTCCATAAATGGTGAGTTAATACCTATGTTTTCAAAATGAGTAAAATTGAAGTACAATTTTAATGGCAATGTTAACGTGTGAAGTTATTTCAAAAGTTCTGAAGAGGAATCAAAAGATTATGGTTCTGATTATACTTTAAGCGCTAAATTTTTAAATTTGTATTTTATCGAATAATTAAGGCTCAAAACATAAACGAATACAGGATAAAAACTTATGGGTCGTCATTCTAACAATGCATAGTACCGATTTAGGCACTACAAACAACTGTTTTAAAACAAAAACGCCGGAGCCTTTGACGACGCATGATAGCTTGCATGGTAATTCATTTATACGATTTCTTTATATATATATACGATATTTATTGATAAAAGCATGCTCCATTTTAAAATTTCGCAAAGCTAGATAGATATGCTTTTTCTTAAACCATACTTCGAAATGTGCAAGCCTGTTTATATTAATACATATTTGAGAGAAAACATGTTTTTAGGCATGACCATCGAAAAAATCGATACTTAAAAATCACTTGACTCATAATTTTTATGTTTGGTGATTACAAAAATTAAATGAAATGCTAAAACACTTATGACATTAATTTAATATTACTCATCAAGTTTCCTACTGTTGTTGTTGTTGTTTCTTATCCCACTTGGCTGGCCAAGCCCACGAGCCCATACGTACTCATGATTGAAGGGGAAGGAAGCAGCTTCTGTTGTGAGGGAGCACCAGTAGGTAGAAGTCTGACTTTGGCTCCGTGACGCTCTTACAGTCATAGGTGACCGGGACCTACGGCTTAAAGTGGATTCCGAACCACTACAAACATCCATGGCACCGCCGGGACTCGAACCCGAAACCTGTGGCACCGAGCGCCAGAGCGCTAGACACTCGGCCATTCAGGTCCCAAATTTGCCAACGGCACGCGGTGGCCCAGGTGGTCACCCACCCAAGTACTGACCGCGCCCAATGATGCTTGACTTCGGTGATCTAACGAGAACCGGTATATTCAGCATGGTACGGCCGAGTTTCCTACTTAATGTAATATATGTATATATATATTTCTTTTCTTTACATATCATGTTTTTTATTATATAATTTTTGAGTTCTTTATCTACAGACAGTCCATGGTTATGTTATAGAAAGGATGTACACAGAGCCGGATTTAGATGAAAAGAGGCCCTAGGCTATTCCACTTATGATGTCCTACTCCGATTTTTAAGTTTCTAAATTACATGAGAGATAATAAAATACACCATTACTGTGATAGATATCAATATGCTAAATGGAGCATGCTGTGATGGGTACTAATCGTTATAAAAGATGTGACACGGATACTAAATAAAAAAAAGTCGAGAACACTTATTTGGACATTTATTCTCAGCACCCTATATAGTATTTGTAACAATAATTAATCAAACATAACACACAACATTTACAAAGAAGCAAAATTCAAATAATAAAAATCTTTGCCCACGAAAATAAAATATGCAATAAAAATTATCCTATTTTCTATCGAATTAAATTAATATATTCAATACATTGGAGATTAAAGCGAATTCAATTCAGATAAATTTATTTCATAATAATTCACATTTAAAGTTTAAGTATGAATGATTATGAATTTTAAGTTTTAAACTAAACCAAAAAATGGAACTTAGTAATTTTAATTTTGCTAACAATTTGAATGTAGGCCCCTCTTGATCTCGAGGCCCTAGGCTGAAGCCTAGTTAGACTATAGGATAATCCGGCCCTGGATGTACAACTTTCGCAAACATAATAAAATAAGAACACGAGATGGTCAATGCTTGCAATACTTAAATGAACGATAAACTGAAATTTCATAATTAATAAGCTAGACGAGAATTTGTAAATTCGAAAGAAAAATTCTGAAGAAGAGAAAGAAATGTTTACAGGCAGAAGTCGATTTTTGTGAATTTCTTGACTTAAACTGTATCACTCGGAGACATTGTTGCTTTTTTTTTTTTTAAGGAGATTGAGTTCTTGGAGAGTTTCTTGAATAATTAGCCCATGCTATTCCGTCAAAACATTTCCACTTAATAAAGCGGAATCTCCTGATGACGAATTAGATTTCTGAACAGAGAGGCTATGTTAGAAAGCTTGTAAGCGAAATCAAACTGAAAGTATCATGCGAGCCAACATAGTGTAACATTTTTCCCACGGGAAGAGATGTAGCATTTCGTTCCCAGGAGAGAGGAATGTATCTTATTTGAAAAATTTATAATAAGCTCATCACTCAAATTTGACAACAGACGAGCTTTATTGTGGGCAGTTATATTACAAGCAATTAGTGTTTTGTACTAATGAGAACAACCTGTCACTCAAATATGATAACAGGTATTATGTATAATGAGACTCATAAAATTAGCGAATGTCTGTGCGACCTTCACAGGTCGAAATAATTACAGATTGAATATGGACTATACCATAAGTGGTTCCATCGTGATGGGTGATAGAATACGAGCTGATAAATGTCAATTCTAATGAGAACTGAGGGTTGCAAGGCCGGAGGCGTGCAGAGTTCGCGAGTATCACGCCTGTAGACAGACACGCCTGTGCTGTAGATTCGTCGTAGACTCGCGAACTCTGAAAGTCTTCGGCCTTGTAAATAAAAATTAAAGTGCTCCCATGAACCTGAAGTGGCCCTCTTCTTGGAGCCGATATAGGTCTAGTATAGGCATATACGTTACAATAGATATGTAAGTTGGAAAGCCTTCCATTGGGAGAAAGGGTAGGTTCAAACAACCTCAAATGCCGCCCTTGTCAGTGTTTGTTGTGAATTGCAGTGATTCAACGTAAAAAAAGTGCATCAGGCCCTCCCTAGGAAACCTGAAATTTCGACAAATCTGACATATGGTCATTTGCAACTAGAACGGCAAAATTCTTAGAATTTGTAAAAAAAAAAAAAAAATTTAATATTTAAGTTAAGTACAGTCGATGATAGAATTCTTTGATATAAAATACAACCCAATGGATTATTTCTTTTTGAATAATTATTGTAAAAATAATTCAAATCTTACAAGAAATGGTATTTAGAATTATCATTAATAAATCAATAAATTATTTCAACTCTATCCTTTATCCTGCTGCATTTGTGTATTATAAGTAATTCACAAAGTAACTGTAGAATAAATGAAGATTTGCTACACCATTGATGTCATGCGTTGCAGTCACTGCTTTCTAAAACGAGGTGCCTTGGTGTTGATTCTGACAGCAGTTACAATGTCTTAAATAAATCCTCGTTCTACATAGTAAAGGTTTTCCATATTTATACAATGAGACATGCATATGATGGATAGTTATGAAAAGGCCGTTGGCAGACAACAACCTTTAACATATAGAATATTCATTAAATAGCCTTTAATTCATAATATTGGTTATTCATTGTATATTATGTGGAATTCATGGTATATAGTGTTAGAAACTAAAGATACACTTTCTTCCATCACTTTAAATTAAAATTTAATAACAATAAAAAAATTGCTCAAAAAAAAAAAAAAAAAAGGGTGCATTCTACGAAAATGGAAAAAAAATACACTTTCTAAAAATCCTGTTACTGATGCAAAAAAAATTGAATTTAACTAAAACTTATTATAAACTGAGTCATCCGAATTTGTTGTGTTGAATTTGTCACATTTCCTATTTAAATTCCAGTTTTTAAAACTGTTAATAATTAATACCAATAAGAAATGTTTGAGAGGTAATTTATTAAAAAATTTAACCAACATATTTTTTCTCTGTAGGTAATATTTGTTTACCCAGCGTTGCCTGGGTGTTTATTTTTCTTATATTTTGTCAGATACAAGAATATTATGTAACAGAAAAATGAATGACAGGAAGATGAAGGTCGTATAAAATTGATTTGGACACTCACCTTGCTTTTTCTTAGAGGCATTGTTAGGGTAATAAAATAGGAAACATTACAGAATCCATAAAAAAAAAGCGAAATGTTGAACAGCCACATTCATTGTTTTGAAACAGAATTAGCAATTAACAGTATTATTAAATAACAATCCTGTTATTTAAAAGAAAGGCTCTTATCTCACAAACACCGCATAGTCACAATCTATAGAGAAATGTTATTTCTGCATGCTACAATGCCGCTATTTAAGAGAGGGGAATTCTTGGGCTAGCTAGTTTTGAAAATAAATTCTATTACACTGACTGAGCAGTGCTGACCTATTTTTTTTTAAATTTACTGACCGGTAACCGAGTTACAGATAATCAAACATTTTTAGTTCTTATTCGTAACATTAAAATTACGCTCTTTTAAATCTATTATAAATTATGATTTGTCAAAGTTAAAAAAAAAATTATTGTAAATAACTATTTATAAATAACATTTAGAAAGGCATAAGTTTATATGTTAGAATAATTGAAACAAACCAAAAATATATTTTTTAAAAAAGAACACAAGTTACATAAATTTTTAAAAATAGAATATTTTAAAAATAACTAAAATTTAAACAATGAAATTTAATTAATTTTTAACAATTGGCTTTAATTTAAAGAAAATTTCTAAATCTCACCACCAGATGGCATCCTATGCCACCAGGTAGTGTGCAAATAATTTTTGTTCAATTAAGACAAAGAACTAATAAGAATACTTTCTTAATTTTTTAATCTTAATTAAATAAGATTTATCTTAATTTTTAAGTCTTAATTAAACAAAAAGAAAAAAATAACTGCGACATTTAAGTGTTCTAGTTTCAAGTTATGGAATACGGTACGTAAAATATTCATTTATATACATAAAAAGTGAGAGGGGGAGATTACATGGAATGGTGAATGCCATAAATGCGTATTTATAGATTTAAGAATCAGACAAATACCATTTAAACTACGTTTTCTCAAAATTTTCTAAAAAATAAAACAAACAGCAATTTTACTATTTTCGGACATCAGTAAGCTATGTATACTAAGCCAAAATAATTATAATAAAGCCAATTACCATTAGGTCACAGAATGAATAACAGAATCGATCCTTGGAAATCTGCGAAGGCAAAAAGATATTACATCGGAACTATAGGAGCTCCAAGGTCTGCCTGCTGACTTCGTGCATATGATTTTGCGCTCGCGGGTATCCACGCAACAAATTGTATTTATGATCGATGCTATTTTCGTGCTGCACAATGACGTCGCTCTCAATCGTATGCACGAAACTGCTTGCTCAAGGCCGATCGCAATTGATTTTCTTCTGATTTAAAACACACACCCCGACACTCCTGTCATAATTTTACTAATAATACTAATCTATTAATATCACTGCTAATAATAATTGTGATTAATTAATTTTTACAGTTTATAAAAAAGTCATATGATGGAAGTTTAAAGTATAAGACATGACTCAGCTCTATATTAAAAAATGAAAATTTAAATATTAGAAAAATATGTTATTTATTACCTATACTGTTGTTGTAATGGAGCTAGCAATGCAGAGACAATTATTAATCTTTATGCTATAAGCAAAAGCTGCACTGCTGTTACTGATTTTGCACTACCCAGGGCGCACGTGTATCTTGAAGATAAACTAAGGACGCGAGTAACACTATACCCACCATGCTCTGCTATCATATTAGACCGGGACCTACGGTCTACTTATACTTATACACTTATACAAACGTCCATGGCACTGCCGGGACCCGAAGGCTTTTCTTATAACTGGCCATCAGGCCTCTCTTATTGCTAATACTTCTTTAAAAAAATTTTATTGATCATCCATGTTTAGTACTGAAACTTATATTACAGTGTAAAGATTTAAATCCCTTTAAAATCTCGTGTATTTTTCTTCACAATTTTGATCCTTTTAGTAATTACAGCACACCATTTTTGTCAAAAACAATTACAATGATCTATGTGTGCTCAAGTTTTTTATACAATATAATTATACACAGGAAATGCAAAATCCAAAATTTAATTGAAATAAAATTATTAATCATTTATATAAATTACATTATGAAATCTTTCCTATAATGACATATATACATTTTATATTTTTAATATGC